TTAATCCAGTCAGTCAGTCCGTGTCTTTTGAGTGGGGAATTCAATCCTTATACATTGAGCTGTTATTGAAAGATGCTGATTTACTCTCAAAATTTTATTGATTTTTTGTTTGGATGTCTTAATTATCTTTTGTTTCTTTCTCTCTGATTTACTGTTTGTCTTCTGTATTTGTTGGTTTCTTTGGTTGGTAAATATTTGTTTTCTCTTTATTGTTATCATTTTTATTTTCCTAGTGGGTTTTGTTCTTTCTTGAGTATTTATGGAAGTGGTGGTGGTTGTTATTCAGGTACCAAACCCAGTACTCCCTTGGGAATTTCTTGTGAGGTTCGTCATGTGGTAGTGAACTCCCACAGTTTTTGTTTGTCTGAGAAATATACTATTAGTCCTTCATTTTGGAAAGGTAGTCTTTCAGGGTAATGTATTCTTGGCTGGAAATTTTTGCCTTTTAGTATTATGAATATATCATCCCATTCTTTTCTGGCTCTAAGGTTTCTGATGAAAAGTCTGATGTTAGTCTGATTGGGGCTCCCTTATAGGTGATTTAATGCTTCTCTCTTGCAGCTTTTAAGATTCTTTCTTTGTCTTTGAGTTTAGCCAATTTGACTATAACATGTCTTGGAGAGGACCTTTTTGGGTTGAATATGTTTGGGGATCTTCGAGCCTCCTGAATCTTAAGATCTGTCTCTTTCCCTTTACCTGGGAAGTTTCTGCCATTATTTCACTGAATATGTTTTCAATGCCATTTCCTATTTTTTCCCCTTCTGGTGTTGGAAAAAATGCAAAAGTAACTTTCCCATATGCTTCCCTTAGCTTTGCTATGGGTCTAGTGTATGATGGAGCTTAGAGGATATTTCCCTTTTGAGATTATGTATGGAAGACCACTCCCACTTACCGCTGGACTACAGGGGGACCCCCACCAACTGAGGAAGGAAGAGATGTCACAGTACTCAGTCACTGCCTAGGACTTTCAAACAACTAACCAAGAGAGTTTTAGAACAAGCTCCCATCCCATTAGGGAGTTGGGCTCATCAGTTTCAACCTGGAGACAGTGTGTGTAAAAGATTTTAAAAAGGCTCCTTTAAAGCCAACCTGGATGGGGCCACACATAATTGTACTAACCACTCCCACTGCAGTTAAGATTACAGGTCTAACTCCCTGGATCCACCATATGCAGGCAAAACAGGCAGCTTCCCTTGAAGATAGCACCTCATGGTCTGTTAAGGCTCACCCCACTAACCCACTCAAGGTCCAGTTCCAGAGATGTCCCACTAATTGTCACTGCCCCACACCTGCACACAGGTGAAGCCTGGGGATTCGACAAGTCCTGCATCAGCCACTCCAGAGGCTGGCTGATCCAGAGTGTGGCTGAAGCTTGAGGATTTTCTCACTGCGGGACATAACAAGTGCACTATTTTAATTTTATAAAATCATAAGCATATGTCTCCCCTTGCCTTTAATTTTTGTCATATTACTTCCTTTGCCTTTTGCCATAGGATTGACAACAGCATCCCCAAAAGATTGGAATAGGGTTGAGAAGTTCTTGTTAACACTCCTTTATCTCCTGACAATAGGATGTTTCTTAGACATCTCATGGTGGCAATGTATGTTCATGCCACCAAAAAAACTTTGGTCGAAAGAAAAACAGCCAGTCGTCTGCTAGCCTTAACAGACTAAGCCACCCTCAAACCTCTCTTAGACCCCAAAAATGATATTGAATAAGGTTATACTCACTCAAAATTTTAGAGAGAGCATAAAAGGAGGGGAATGTTTGGAAAAAAATGCATAACTAACTTTCCCATAAGCCTGTTTTTTTCCTGAAACTGTATTTGCTTGCTTCACTAGTCTGAAATAATTTTCTCACAAGCCTGTTTTTTTCTAGAAGTAATATCTTATCCTTGAAACTCTCCACTAGTCTGGCTATTAATCACTGCTTGGCTTCTGTAACTGAGCACTTATCTGCACAGAGCACTTATGCAAGACTAGTGAATGCTGAAATGTTGAGAAAAGAAAAAAATATATGTGTGAAGAGCCCTGGAAGAGTCTGCTTATAAAAACCTTGTGAGATCTGAGCTGCGGGTCTAGATTTTTCAGGCAGTAGCCATCTGGACCCGCTGGCATAATAAACTCCTGACTCTCCAACCCTCTGAGTGTTGGGTCACTTCCTTGCCAAGTTCGTTTCTACAACACTGGAATACCCATGATTCTGATATTTGAGCACTTAAAGTTGTCTGTTATCTCTCTTAGATTTTCTTTAATGTTTTTAATTTTTTTCTGTTTTCTTTTTTTTGGTCCACCTGTGTTATTTCAGAAAGCCCATCTTCAAGGTCAGACATTCTCTCTTCTGCTTGTTCTACCCTGCTGGTTAAACTCTCTGTTGTGTTTTTCATTTCATTGAATGAATGATACAGCTCTGCCAGCTCCACTACATTCTTTTTCAGGGCATTAATTTTTTTGTACATTTCTTCTTTCTGGTCCTGTATACTTCTCCTCATTCCATTGTGTTGTCTAATTGAGTTTTCTTGTATCTCATTTAGTTTCCTTAGAATTGTTGCTCTAAATTCCTTGTCAGTCATTTCAAGGACTTCCTGTTCTATAGGATCTAGAGCTTGAGAGTTATTATTACCCTTTGGTGGTGTTGTACTTTCTTGATTTTTCATATTTCTGGTATCTTTCACTTGATGTTTAGTCACCGTGGTGGGGGATTTCACAGTATACTCATTTGACACTTGTGTCTGCCTAGGATCCTGCAGGGACTGCCAATTTGGCATGGCTGCCTTGGTGCCTGTGGGCCAGAGGTTCATGCTTCTCTGGGCCATGGGGACTGGCCTGGGCTGGGAGTCCTGCAGCAGTGCCTACCTGTTCCAGTGTGAGTGGCTCAGGGCCCTGTGGTTCCAGTGGTTCTCAGGCCTCTCTGAGTGGTACACACTGGCCTGGGCTGGGAGTCTCGCAGTGGCACCTACCTGCTCCAGTGCAGGTGGCTTGGGGTGTGTGGGCCTAGCAGCTCTCAGACCTCTCTGGGGTCTCTCTGTGTGGTGCACACTGGCCTGGGCTGGGAGTCCCACAATGGTGCCTACCTGCTCCAGCGCAGGTGGTTCGGGGCCCTGTGGGCCTGGCAGCTCTCAAATATATGTAATTTTAAGTATTCTAGTAATCACATTAAAGATATAAAGAAACATATTAAATTAATTTTTAAAATATTTTTGTTTATCCAAATTAAATGTATATTTAAAAAAATATAACTCTTTAATACACATTTGCCCTCTTCCTCTTTCCTTTTTTAAGGTGTGGCACAAGAACTAATGTAGTTGGACATTTTTCATATTGCTGATCAGGGCTACCAGTAGGCCTTCAATGCTTTTGTTCAAATGAGAAAAAGATGTCCTCTTTTCCTGAAATGCCTGATTGCCATCTGTCAGAATCTATATATACTGATCTACAATATCTACAGTGTAAATATATTGGCTTTCTTGAACAAATTCTAAAACAATTTTCACAAATAAAAATTCAGAGATTAAAATAATAATAAAATAAACAAAATATAATTAATACAAAATTATTAATAATATGTTTTACATTCTGTTTTGTACTATCTTTGAGATATAATGCATATTTCAAACTTATAGCATATCTCCGTTAGGACCATCAACATTTTAATTGCTCAATAGTCACATGTGACTAATGGCTGCCATATTGGATAGCACAGATCTAGAGTTAGACCTTTTAGAACTTTACATTACCTATCTGGAAGAAGCCTTGAATGGCCTGTAAACACATGAAACACCTGTATTTCTTACTCAAGTAAGTAAAAATATTATTTTTTCACAGTGGGCATTTCTATTCTCTCCAGGAGTAATGTGGCCAATAATATCTTACTGTTTTGGACCACCTCCTAAAAAGGAATAATAAGAATATAATTAAAGATGCCATTTATTGAGTACCTGCTCTGTGATTTTGGCTAATTGCTTTAAACAGATGTTTTATTTCAAGTTGTTCTTACATACATATATTATTATACCTTATTTCAAGATGGTTTTACTTTAAGGCCTCTCTCCAAAGAGACAACTCTTCAAAAAAAAGTATAATTCCTTCAAAAAAAATTTTTTCTGGAAGAGTTGTTGATGATCAAATATAAACTAAGAAAATTATGTTTAATTACAATTCTACATGTCTTTACAATTAGTAAAATACAGAGACTACCATAATTCAATTGCACAGTATTGGTAGGAATTGATCTAAGTTATTTGAATATGATGCATGGCTAGGGACCCATGATTCTGTGTGCAAACATTTGTTTATGTCAAGCTGATAATGAGATATTGCACACAGATATTGATATGTGCAATCACACAGATCTGTACAATCAATTATGTTTCAATTAAAAATAAATAATTTAAAAAGAGATATCAGAACCAATTTCTGAATTATTTCCATAAGTATATTGATTTTAATTTAAAAAATTAATACCAATCTTGTATAAGTTGATTTTACTATAATGAAAATTCCAGACAGAGAGTGACAATTTTTGACACTAACAAGTTTTGTAATAAAATACTTAGTAATTTACATATTAAATGCTTATAGGGAAGTTGTGCTTGGGCTATTAGTATATTACATAAAATAAAATAAATATTATTTTTTAAAGGATCTCATAGAGCATTAAAAATGACTTAGAAAGAATATATGTGAGAATAGTCACCCAAGACCAATAACTTTTCTGAAACTGAAGCAGTTTTATTATTTGCCACGTTTTAAAGCTTATCGTCAGAAATCTGTCGAAAAATTTACCATTTTTGTAGAGATTTTGAAAACATTTCATTGAACTTTCCATTAAATTGTTCTGTACCAGCAATAGGTTTAATTCTGAGAATAACATCTAGAATTTATGGTCATCTTTATATTTATAAGTTTCAAGTCAGAGTAAATTTAATACCTGAAACTGACCTTTCATTTTAGAAAACTAATCCCTGGTTAATCTGATATCTTATACCTATGTCTTTTAGGTGCAATTTCATTTTCTGTTAAAAGCAGAGAAGATGATGATTTTGAAGAAGACACAGATCAAGATAGAAAGTCCTCCTTTCAGGAATCAATAACAGAAATAGCCCACTCTCTTGATGAGGGAGACTCAGGTAAATTTATTATGATGGAGAATTTCATGATCTGTCTGCACAAAGCTAAATCATCATTCATTTTAAAATTAAATATGCATAGTACATATCCAAATTTGTGTCGCCTGTATCTGTAAGAATTTCATTGTATTATGTCAAGATTATGTAGTTTACCTTCTGGATTTCTCCTGCTATTAATATCAATAGATCACGATATTTCAGTTAGAAAGCTGCCTGTTCTTCCATAAGTGAAATGCTTTACATATTTTTCTATTATTAGACAAGAACAATACAGCAAGTTTCTGATAAAATGTTAATGAGTGTATTATTTTAATAATGTAATATGCTTCTCTTACTTCAATATAGGAGATGATAACAATCTTTCTCCTTTGCAAAGAGACTAAATGCTATTATTTTCCTTTCCTACATTATAAAAGCTTTATTTAAATGGTGTTAAACATCATATATTTTCAGTGGAAGTTCAAAGGACAATTAGATTATGTAGAGTTGGAATAGTCGGGGTAGGTTTCTGGAGAATGAGTGAATGAGTTGTTCTTTTATAGGTTAGTAGCAGGGTCTTAAGGGATTATTAGAGAAGAGGTTCAACAGGAGATAAGTCATGGATTCAAAAAGAGGTATATGAAAGAAGAAATTTTTATTGAATGTATCTCTCTCAGGGTTCTTCAGAAAAACAGAAACTACACACACAGGTGCTCGCACGCACACACACACACACATGAGGCTACTTCAAAAAGTTTATAGAAAGACTCATATTATCTTTTAATTCTATTTTTCCATGAACTTCGCATTGTTAGAGAGAGAGAGAAGGGAGATTTTAAGGAATTGTCTAGCATCACTGTGGGAGTTGGCAAGTCCAAAATCTGTAGGGTAAGCTAGCGGGTTAAAAATTCAGGAAAGAGTAAATGCTGCAGTTTTTAGTCTGAATTCCTCAGTACAGGACAGGCATGCTGGAAACATAGGCAGGGTTTCTATGTTGCAGTCTTGAGGAAGAATGGCTTCTTCTATTGGGAACCTCAGTTTGCAGTTAGGACCCTCAACTGATTGGAGGAGGCCCACCTGTATTATGGAGAGTAATCTGCTTTACTGAAAGTCTACTGATTTAAACGTTAATCATATTTTTAAAATAGCTTCACAGCAATATCTAGACTGGTGTTTGACTATACAACTGGGCACCATGGCCCAGCCATGTTGACACATGCAATTAAGCATCACAGAATGCATTGATTTAAAAGTAGTGTTTAGGCAATATTCAATATATTTTGGAAAAGGAGGAGCAGTTCAGGCCATTTAGGCCACTGTAACAACAAAATGGGTTTAAAGTGAAGAGAATTAGGTCTTTTTATTGTGGTGATGGGGATAAAGAAATACCACTAAAGATGGAAATCATTTCAGAGACTAGCATTAGATGACTGTCCTGAAAGAGGACAATGAAAGAAAGGATTGATTGCAAAAACCCTCATCAATATCTAAGGCAGAAGAACCATGAAAGAAAGTCTTCATGAAGGTAGAAATGTTCAGAAGAATTTTAAAGGCAATTGGAATATTATGATGTGATATTAATGGACTAAAACAGAGGGATATCTAATAAAAAATACTAAGCTGCATGATGAAAGTTTACGAGATAAGGAGTTAGGAAAAATGCATCTAATAAAATTACAGGTATCCCCAATTCTTCAGACAGGCCTTTCTATATCCTTATTCTTAGGATTAACCTTTTCATCATCTATGATAATATGGGTTCTTTTTTAAAACTGCTCTGTAGCATATTTCTTCTCAGCTAGGAAACTCTTCCAGCTTTTCTCCCATCCAAGAAATGAAAACAACAACTTTATAAGAATTTTTAAACCTTCCTGATAGAGAAATATGAAAAATAATGGTAACACCATGTTTTAATGAGAGTCAAATCAAAAGAGCAATCCCATGCGTTATAATGGAAATTTATTTTTTGAAAAGAACATTTACAATATGTTTAAAATTTCTTTTTTTTTTTTGTGACTGGTAAGGGGATCGTAACCCTTGGCTTGGTGTCGCCCGCACCATGCTCAGCCAGTGAGCGCACCGGCCATTCCTACCTATATAGGATACGAACCGACGGCCTCGGTGCTACCAGCACTGCTGCGCTTCCAGAGCTGCATTCTCCCGAGTGAGCCACAGGGCCGGCCCTAAAAATTTTAAGAATTATTTATCTCCTTTGATCCATTGATTCAGTCTAAGAAATTTGTTAGGATAAAGTAATCAAAGATAAGCATGCAATAACTTATGTGATCCGTTATGTTGAATAACTGAAACTAAAATTTTAAAAGTGAATATTTTCTGACATATAAATGTGTATATTCACATACAAGCATACGAATATATCAATCATATATAGCACACACATTCTAGTATATTTATATTTGTATATGTATATCTACATACCTATGTCCTTATTGATATTTTAAACCTGGAATTTTATACAAAAAATATTAAGTAGCTTTCATTTGTTCATGCGGCTATGAATAATTTTCATCTTCATACTTTTCAGGAATTTCTCAAATTGCTATGTTGAATGTTATTGATTTTATAATTTTAAAAAGTTTTAATATGTTTGAAGTTTAGAGTTAAATAACGTTTAATAACTACTATTTTTGTTGCTATTCTCATTAATAAATCATTCACTAATTCCACTCTAACGAATAAATTAATATTCAATGTACATTTTTAGCACTGTAGGAATTAAATTAGCTACCTCACAACACTGCCACATGTGACAGTCACAGGAATTACAAATAGTAGGTGTTATTGGCCCTGTGATGATTAATTCTGTGTGTCAACTTGGCTGGGCCATGGTGTCCAGATACTTACTCAAATTTATTCTGAATGTTTCTGTGAAGGCATTGTTTTTCTTTTCTTCTTTTTTTTTTTTTTTTGAACGAGATTAACATTCAAATCTATGGACTTTGAGTAAAGCATATTAGCCTCCATAATGTGGTAGGGCCTCATCCAATCAGTTGAAGGTCTTAGTAAAATAAAAGTTGACCTCCCCTGATATCCTACAAATTTTGAATTTACCAAGTCTCCACATTCCTTAAAGTCTCTCTTTCTCATCATATGTACACATATTGTTGGTTCTATTCCTCCAGAAAACGCTGAGTAATATAGTTCCCATTGCACAGATGGGCAGACTGTTACTTTGCCAAAGACCACATGGTAAAGGTGGTGAAGTTGGGAATTGAACCCTGGTCTTCTGGCTCCAAGTTATTCTACTGATAGTTGTGCTAAACCAGAGTCACAAGACAACCTCCTTAGTCAAACATCCTGTTTCTCTCCAGAATTATTTTCTTTGTGAGTTCAACATGGGTTAAAGTATTGGAAAGATCCAGATAAAATATGCATGAACTGCCTAGAAGAGGAACCACTTTTCATTTTAAGAACTTTGGTTTATTATGGGAGAAGTCACATTTAAATGTCATAAAACATTTAAAGTGCTTTCATAAAGTTGAAGGAGCAGTCCATACAAATGTGAGCAGAGAGGTTTTCTCAATAATTTTGTATTAGTATGAATTTGGTAACCTTATTCTCTGCATATTAATGGTTTTAAAAGAATGAACTGGTGTTTGCAAAATAAATAAGCATAGGAGCCTATTCAAAATTTGGAAGTAAGTTTGCCCTCAAGAACTTTTTACAGGTATTTGGAATAAGAACTCACTTGGACTTCCTCCCTTTTTCCCTCTCGTTAGCCGAGTGCTCTGAATGTCTGAATTATTCTCAGACTCACCAATTTTATATGTGTTTTGGTAGCTAAAGTATTAGAATAAGATGGAACATAATACAATATAATACAATACAATATGGTACAGAGCAATGTAGCCCACTAAAATGCATTGTCATACAATACAATACAATGTCATACAATGCCATTCAATGTCATACAATGCAATGACATGCAAACCAATACGGGGTTACTTCAAAAAGTTTGTGGAAAAATTGAATGAAAAGTAATATGAATCCATCCATGAACTTTTGAAGACTCCTCGTGTACTCATAGAGAAGATTTTTAGAAGAGGAAGACACTGAGATTTCCACTAGTCTGAGATCCTTATTTCTTACTAAGGCTCAAAGAGGTTCGTGATTTACATGACAATTCTTGAAATCTTTTAAACATGACAATACTGAAGTGAATATGCATGCCATTTACTGAAACTGGAGGACATTTTAAACCATCATCTAGTTCAACAGTGGAAAAGAAAAGAATGTAAAAGATAGAAGCTGAACACGAGAAAAAAAATGGAAAGAATCCAGATTTCTTGCAAGTACAAAACCCCACTATGCAGGACCTTTGAGGTTGATTAGAGTTCCAGTTTCAGTGTGGGGGAGTATAAGACTTTGAACATCTCCAGCAGCAAATTTGCCGCTTTTAAAAAAAATATCAGGAATCCAGATGTAAACATCATTGTTTTACAATATAGTGTACACCCCATTCCTGAACTGCCAGGATCTTTTTTCACACTGCCAAGAAACAGAAAGCTCATGTTTCTGACTTTCCCCTGAGACTAGATTCTTACAGTCCTGGAAATGTACCATTATGAACTGTAATGCCTTATTTAGACATTACTATGTACAGGTATGTCTTGGCAATTAGTTAAAATAAGATTGGTTTTTTCTTTTGAAACATTAATTCTTAACTTAAAAGTAAAATTGTTCTTAAGTTTATTTTAGTGGGTAATATAATGAGTTACTGGGGTAAGCACAGGGTCAGTTGCTTTTACAGGACATTGTCCTGGCCATGCAGGATGGGGCTCCTCTTACTGCTCACTGTGATAAAAGCAGCTTCCCACGTGTCACCCCTCAGCTCTCTTGACAAAGGAGTTCATTAAAAAGGGCTTGAAATGATGTCTGTTTATGATTCTGAAATTCAAATGTTAAGTATGATATTCTGAAGCCTATATTAAAAAGCACTGAAGAAATTTTTTTGTTTGTTTTGTTTTGTTTTTCAGATGATGATGTTAGCAATTTAAGAATCTGGTATGATCTTGAGATCCATAGCTCTCCTGGACCACCCTTAGATGTTATTGAGACGAAGTGTACCGCTCTGGTAAGAGCCCATTAAATGTTTCATAGGCTCTGTCTTTTCACAAACAGAGCTTGTGTTGTACACTAAATCGCTATCCCTAAAAACACCCATACCAGACTAGTATATTGACAAAAATTATTCAATCATAGTAATTTCATGTTTAAATTCACTACTATGGACCTTAAATGCTTTTGGAAAACACTTTTAGGTTACAGGGCATCTTAGAGTGACTGCACTGCTTAGCATTCTACCTGCATGTTTCAAGAGTTGCTAGAGCAAATTTAACCTTAGTCTACATGCTTGTCCTCACATATACAATAAAAGTAGTGTTGTGCTCTTCAGGGTCTTTCAGCATTGATTCTTCCTGGTTTCTACAGCACTCTTTCCACTTTGAAATGTATTTGGAGCAACTGGCACATATTGTGGTTTTAAGTAATAGTGAATAAGAATAGGATTACCTCATGTGAACTATTAAAGTATTACTAAACCTGTGTTCAAGATTATTTAATATAGTCAAATACTGATAGTCTTGATTCAAATGAAATATGAGGGCAGCATGAATAGCTGTGAATAATGCTTAAATTAAATTAAATTAAATTGCCTTATTAGTAATCATATCTAAATTGAGAATAGTCCAATTAATGTAATTTTCATTTTTAAATATGTGGATAGATTTCTTCATAGAATTGATTATTTAGAATCTTGAGATTTAGCTCTAATAAATAGAATGTAAGAAAAGATTTAAAATACTTTTTGAAAGAAAGTGAGCTGAAACGCTGGGTACCTATTAAGCAAAAGCTTGATAAAAATTAAAGGAAAAGAATCTGCTGGGCTGCACTCAAAATGGAGGACAGTAGGGGCTGCCCTCAAAGAGGAGAGCAGCCCCAGGCACCGGGGTGGGAGAGCTTATATAGGTTGTGAGGCGCCAAGGGCTAGCTGATACAATCAAGGAGGGGCATTATGCTAATGTGGAAGCTCCACCTGGCTGATAGAACCAGGGTGGAAAATTGTGCCCATGAGGAAGCAAAAGGGTTTCTGTTTCGCAGAAGTCACGAGGTTTCTCGTAGAGGGAAAGGGGGGGTTGGCAGCCATTCTGTGCTTGTATTTTCCTAAAATGGCACTAGCTATGTTCAGAACCTATCATTTTGTCTATAAATTGATTATTTGCCCACCTGGTTTCTGGATAAGTCTCTACTGAGGCATAAAAAATGAACGGTTAAAATATTGAAATGAACTCAAGTATAGCTTGCAAAAATATTATCTTCTAAGTGGAAAATTATTTAATATGATGATATTAGGATCATTTTATTCAGTGAAAATATCCTATTTCTGTGATCTGGTTATCACTGCAGCACAAAATCTTTTCTAAAGGTTATTTTTAAATGACATCACTTTAATTACACAACATCTTTCTATGAAAAGTGATTACTGAATTAAAATTTATCCTTTACTGAGACATAAGAGAAAAAAAATTTTAAATGCACCTGAAAAAATTAGGATCGTGAGGTAGATGCTCTGAAAAAATGACATTGGCTTCCTTATTAACTATATGTTCAAAATAGAGATGAATTGAAATATGCAACAAAAACCAGAAAAAATACAGGGCCGGCCCGGTGGCACACTCAGTAGAGTGCGGCGCTTGGGAGTGCGGCGGCGCTCCCGCCGAGGGTTCGGATCCCATATAGAGACCGGTCCGCTCACTGGTTGAGCACGGTGCGGGCGCGACACCGAGGGTTGCGATTCCGTTACCGGTCACGAAAAAAGACAAAAAGGAAAAAAAAGAAAAGAAAAGAAAAAAATAGATGCAATTTTAAAATCACATAGACAAACAACTGTTGTATCTTCTCATTAAATTGTACATAAAATACCGTTTTTCTGAAAGAGCTATTAGGCCTTCAAGAAAATACGGATAAAGATTGAGATTTTTATAATTTTCAACTTTGAATACTGAAGAATGTTACACAGGTTGAGAAACACACACCATTAGGGTACTTTATACGTAAGAAGACTGAGCAAAAACTAAAAAGAAGCCACCACCTGTTTCTTTCAATGAGACATTTCAAATATGTTTTTATTTTTGAAATTAAGATGTGCATATACCCTTCCAGGAATATATGACTATTATTTTGATAAGCAATGTAATCTCAAATAATGGCCCTTGTCCATTTTCCATAAAGGACTTTCCCCTTTCCATGCAGTAAATTTTATTGTAATGTAAGCCTAATTCAGTTTGTACTGATTTCATATCAGTTTTTAATTTAAACTTCTCCTCATTTTGGTACCACGGTGGGATACCTGTAACTCACCTTACATGCATATATTTTCTGGTTGTTATCAATTATATCATTGCTTTTATTTTTCCTTATGAGCAGTTAGCACAGTTATTTCATAAAGACATTTAAATAATTTTCTTTCATGGTCTACTTCATTGAAAATGCAATTCTTGCATCTACATTTCATTGAGTAGTTCTATATTATAATGCAAGAGCAAAACCTCTTAACACCATTAGCTGCTAGATTGTTCTTTTTGTTACTAAAGGCATGTTTGCTGTCTTACTTAAATGTTCACTTTCAGCTGTGGTTGGTGAAGAAGGGGAGTTTTTTTTTTGGACTAACTCTATCTACTACCCATGTACGCTACTGTAGGTCGAAAGGAAAACTTCAGCCCTAAAGATTCATTAATAAAAATCACTGACAAATTTAGATCACTAGGAAGAAAAGGCATAACAAATTTTATTATTTAACATGCTGGGAGAAAGAAAAGCACAGGGGAATCACAAAAAAAGTAATGTTGCAATTTTCTATTGGAGTATAGATTTAATATACTCTTTTCCATAAGGAAAATGGAGATGGGGGTTGTAGGAGTAAATGATTCTTAGGGGGATGCAATGGGTCTGGAGAACATACAATGGCCAGGGACAAAGTCTATTTGTCATGCAAAGTAGACGATGATTAGTAAATGATTCTCTTCAAAATAAGGACCAAAATATAAGACAACAGTGTGTGGCAAAAGTTAGTCCAGGTGTTTTGACAGATTCCAGTCTTCCTTCCTGTGATATGAGTTAAGTTAATTAAAACTCAAGGAAAGGAACAGAGGCAATTTGTCCAGACTTTAGGCAGATGAGGGAACAGCTTCATCCTGTGCTTCGGAGAATTGACAGACAGGAAGGAGGGGGGAAGGTCAGAGAGACCTTGAGGCCGCTTCTTTATCCCAGCATGTCAAAGCATCATAATTTGAGCTTTCTGCACTTCAACACTGCCAATGATAATGATGTTGTTGCCAAGCTATGAAGTCTTGCTACCTTTCTAATAGTAATTGCCTAAGGTGAAACGTACGTCCTCTTAAACGTTCAGATGTGAATATTTATTTAATAGAGATGGCATGTTTTTTTTTAACATAGTGAATCATTTATTCATTTTTTGAAGAAGATGCTTTCTGAGTACTTTCAGAAGTACAATAAAATTGTCGTCCCCACATATATATTATTTCCTAATATTTCTGGTTGCATTTGCTGTTTTGCCAAATCAACTGAGAAATGTTTTACTTAAACTTTAGATCTTCAGATGTGGCAATAAAGCACTCAAGATACTAAGTAATCTCTGATTTTTCGCCCACATCTCAACTTTTATTATATTCAACCCAATTTCCACATCTTCCCTAGAGATGAATGAATGATCAGAATCTGTCTACAATTAGGGAAATGTAAGAAATATTTGCATTCTTGAGGAACATAAGTTTGGTTACTTCTTACTGCAGGCTCCAAATAACAGATTATAGTCTTGGTAAACAATAATTGCCTGGTAGTAGTCAATTCTCTATTGGTGTTAAGTATTTAGTATTTCTTTTGGAATTTTTAACATGTAATATCTGTTCTTTGTTTGAACTCAAAACTCTCTTACACGTCGTGTTGTTTGGCTGTGAGAGAATGATGAGAGCAACCCACTACCTTTCCACCAACGCTCAGTCACTCCAATATACAGCCCTGAGCTATAAATGTTTTCTTTTTCTTTTTTTTTTCCTTTTTGTCTTTTTTCGTGACCGGCAACGGATCGCAACCCTCAGTGTCACGCCCGTACCGGACCGGGACCGCAACCCTCGGTGTTGTGCCCTCACCTCGCTCAGCCAGTGAGCGGCCGGTCTGTACATGGGATCCGAACCCTCGGCTGGAGCGCCACCGCGCTCCCAAGCGGTGCACTGTAGCAGTGCACCACCGGGCCGGCTCTAAATGTTTTCTTAAAAACAAAACTTAAGTGTGTAAACAAAATATTTCATGCTTTAAGATTTAAATCAGCCGTAGCCTGTATACTACAGTATTTCTTCCATTGTCAGTGACAGTTGTATGACTTTTTCTTTACTGAGTTTTTTATTCTATCATCAAACTTTACCTAAATTCACTATATTGTTAGTAGCAAGACCCAGAAATATTTCCACAAGCTAGTAAGAGAGAAGCGTAGTTAAAAACACTTTTAATCTGCTTGGTTTCAAACATAAAACATCAATACAAAACAGTACACGTGAGTTTCCAACCATTTTGTACAAGTTTTTAAAGTTTTAGTCTCCATAAACTCAAAAATGCATTTTGAGGTACTAATCACTTAATGTATTTTCTTCTTTCTATCATACTTTTTGTATTCCTTATTTTTCTGGGTGAAAGATCATATATCATGGGTGTAGTACATGATATTGAAAATTTTCTTCCTCATGAAATGTTCAGGTAACAAAATTAGCATTCTTCTTTCAATTTATCCTGAGAAGTTGTGAAAAATTCTTAAATAGATTTTTTTTTTAATCTTGAAAATATTTCATGGCTTAATTTGAGTTAAATACAAAGAAATATCGATACAGCTATGGGAGGTAATTTTGGCTAATGTTGCAAATGCTCGTATACCAAAAGATTCTCTAAAGGTAAGAATTATGGTAAAATTTCATCTCTATTATTCTGCTTATACTCTTATTTGAAGTTAAAAGCATTTGCTGGCTTCCAAAAGATATAATGTTTTTCCTAAAGCTATAGAACTAG